GAGCCATAAACAAATTGTTCCTAAAGTCGGGGTCACGTAAGTTTGCAGTTGAGGGAGGAGCCTATTTACCATTTGGTTTTGAATGAACCAATGATAACCGTGCGGTGTTGCCAAATCTAATAATACTAGCTGATTTGAAAATATTGTTTAGTACAGTAGACTCTCAGTAATCCGGCAGATATAGGACTGTGATATTGCCGGATTAGTGAAAATGCCGGATTACTGGAATATTATCAATAAAAACACTTAAAATGGAATTAAAACACGTTTCCGAAGATCGCGCGATCGGAAACCACTATTGCCGCCATCGGGCATGACTTTTCCATTATCGTGGGAGACGATGATAACGTCTATACGTCCGCGGGATATGTTCGTGATTTTGCCGCGATCGCGCAAGACTACGATGACGTTTCCGTGACCGCGGGAGTAGACAATAATGCTTACACGGCCACGGGAGATGATAAAATTTTTTTCCGCGACTGCGGAAGACAACGATAATGTCTACATGACCACGGGAGGTGTTCATGATTTTTCCGCGATCGCGCATGAAGGCGATGACGTTTCCGTGACCGCGGGAGGCGATGATAACGTATTTACGTCAGCGGGAGATGTTCATGATTTTGCCGCGATCACGCATGAAGGCGATGACGTTTCCGTGACCGCGGGAGGCGATGATAACGTATATACGTCCGCGGGATATGTTCATGATTTTACCGCGATCGTGCATGACGACGATGACGTTTTCATGATCGCAGGAGAGAATTTTGTTGTCTACACCGCCGCGGGAGATAATCAGAATTTTGCTCGCGATCGCGGAAGACCTCCCGTCAAAAGACGCCGGATCACTGGAGTGCCGGAGTGGTGCAGTGCCGGATTAGAGAGGGTCTACTGTATATTTTAATTAGTGTTAAGCGCACTAGCCTTGTCTTGTTAATGGCTGCCACCTACTGCAAACTTACGTGGTCCCGACTATAGTCCTTTATGTCATTGTGCAACCTATGATATAAACCTTTTTTCCTATAGGGAAGAATTAACTACAGTACGGTCCACGAGAGTCTGCAGTTGAGGGAGGAGCCTATTTACCATGTGACTTCGAAGGAGCCATTGAGAACTGTGCGTTGTTGCCAAATGTAATAATACCACAGGGTGTCCACATTATGGAAAGTCAGGGATAGTCATGGAAAAAATTTTGGTCATGGAAAGTCATGGAAATCCCCAATGATGGAAGGAGTTTAGGGGACCATTCAATGCTCTAGTCTGCCTTAACCCAGACTATTGTAGCATTTTTCAGAATTTTTCACAAATGTACGACAATTCAATTTATTACAGTTGTATTAATAGACATGGTTTAGCCCCTGAGCTGAATTGATGACTAATATAATATAAATACCTCGTCACAGCTCTGAAGTTTCTGTATATTACAGCTGTTTCGGCATCAAAATGCCATCCTCAGATACACATACATCCACCTGAATTGGCGTCGTTAAACTGTACACACACACACGAACACGATAAAAACACAATAACACGTAAAACAAGAGACAGGCCTGTCGCGTACATGATTGCTACGATTCTTGTACGATTCCAGCTTCCGTACTCGTAGCAATCATGTACGCGACAGGCCTGTCTCTTGTTTTACGTGTTATTGTGTTTTTATCGTGTTCGTGTGTGTGTGTACAGTTTAACGACGCCAATTCAGGTGGATGTATGTGTTTCTGAGGATGGCATTTTGATGCCGAAACAGCTGTAATATATAGAAACTTCAGAGCTGTGACGAGGTATTTATATTACAGTTGTATTATTTTATGAGTTTTGAGTCCGTATTAGTTCATTGTCTTACCTATTGTACTCTGTTGTTATCTGTTAATACATATTTCAGTATTTCCGGCAAAATAACTTGTCCAGGTGGTATTATTCGTGTGTGCATGTTATATTATAATTTTCGAGTAAAGTTTGTGAGTCATGGAAATCAATGGTAAATGGTCATGGATAGTCATTGAAAGTCATGAAAGTTAATGACAAATTTTCTGTGAACACCCTGTACCAGTTGATTTGAAAATATTGTTTAGTATATTTTAATTAGTGTCGAAAATTAGTGAACGTGTGATGTTGTAAAGTCTCATTAGTCTAGTCTTGCTATTGGCGGCCGCCAACTGCAGACTCTCGAGGCCCATAGTGTAAAACTGTGTAAGCATACCATAGTTCGTTATGCTGTAGTAAAGGAAGCAATATGGTGATTGGTGTATTTAGAATAAAAATCTGATACGTCATGGACATTCGACAAAGGTTTAAGATCTTCCATCCATTACCCTGCAGCTTAAAAAAATAGCTTTAAAAAATACAGTAGAACCTCAATCGGGGTCATGGGGAGGGGGGAGGGAGACCACGGATAAGTGAAACCACGGATAAGTGAAACCACGGATAATCCCAACATGACAAAAAAAGCATAAAACTGTATAAATGACCATCAATTTGATAATTTGCATATTACATAATCAAAATACAGTACAATTAGTAGGCCATTATGCAAGTTCATGATAATATGTTAAGTCATTAACCTTGGTTCAGTAATAAAAACTGTAGCGTATAATATCACAGGTTACTCAAACTTTTACTCAAACAAAAAAATTACTAGACACTACGGCATAAATCAGGTAAAGAACAGATTAGTAGGAATTCTTTAGTCGTAAAAAAAGATAAAGATAACAATGACATAAAAAAATGGTTTATTCTTTCTTTTAGCGAATTTCCCTATAGGGAAGTAGCTATTACCGTAGGTGGCACGGTAAGACCTAGACCCGGGACCGATTTACTTTTTCATTTTGATGTTCCCAGAGGCCAAAAACACCATTCGTTCAAATTTTTATATATGTATATATATATATACGTCCGTGAACGCGATAACTTGAGTAATTTTTGTCCGATTTTGATGAAATTTGGTTTAAAGGTGTAAAGCGGGATAAACTTGAATGAGTTCGCTAACCAGCATGATCGGACCATGGGAACGGGGCTTTACGGTGGGTTTTATGGGGTAAAAATTGGTTTTTCTCACTTTTGACCCTCAAAACACAAAATTTCCCAATTTCTCTTTAGACCTTTATAAAGAGCATAAAAAAACAATTAATTTAGTATATAAAAGTATTTTTGTTCGGTTAATAGTAGTGGAGAAAATTAAAAAAATTGTAAATTTAAAATTCCAATGTTATTCTTATTGAGATATTGTCAAATGTTGTAGTTTGCTTGTTTATGGATATATTTTGTATTTTTATCAAGTTATTTATTTTGTACTAAGCTATCAATATTTTACAAAAAAACACACTTTATTAGTTTCCTTGTAGCAGCAAACCTAGGTACTGGTTAAACCTAATGTTATTAAAATATATTTAATTGAAAATCAATTAAGACAAATGGAAATTCGCTTAGTCGGCAGGTTTGCTGCGGCGGGGGTATTTGTCCTTCTTTTCTTTCTTGGGTTTCTCTTCATACACACATTCAACAAGTTGTCATGGCTTACTAGAATCAAATCACCCAATCATGAACTGTTGTGACATAGCAAGCGCACAGCTGGGAGCAGAGGATTGTCAATGCAAGCGGATAGCTTGACCTTGAAGCTATCGATCTATTTCTTTGCCTTGCTTCCATTTTATTTTTGTCAAATGATCTGTGATGTTTCAAAAGTAATAATGTGGTAGTAATAAAGTAATAAATAATTGGCAGAATAGTTAAATATGCATTGCATTCCAACACATTAGTCTAAAGAAACATATTTTATAAAACTTTCTTGGACAATGAGAATATTTAACCTAATTTTAGGGGGATTAAAATCTATCATGACTTTACTGCTTTACAGTGCATATTTTTTGACTGCTACCCTTGTAGTGTAGGTTGGGCGTTTGTGTATTGTTAGTTGTAATGTGTTAGTTAAGATTTTTTCACCTGAGGACGGGATCAGATTCCAGATCTTGAAACGTTGTATATTGGTTTTTACCATCGTGATGGAAAATGTCTACAATAAACCTTTGAACAACATTAACTCACCATCACCAACAATGAACTTCAAACAAAGAATATATGTCTAACCTACATATAATATTTTCATGAGTGCATCGGCAACACTTTTACACCATCTTAGGTAGCCTAAATAAGTGTTCACAGTCTTGAGTTAACAAAAACGGACTGTTATCATTTATCATGTTAAGTTGTACAGTTGAATTTCATTTCTAAATTAAATGGATGATTAAACAACTATTTTAAGGCATTTTCAAGAAACCAACATTGTCTGTATAGCGGCTAGTCTTCAATATTTTAAATTATTGAAAGACTGATATTTTTCAGGGAAGTTTCACATTAAGACCTTTCATTCAAGTATGAAGTTGATAGGTGTGCTGCTTACAGGTTTCTCAAAAGTATGTGATCCTTATTAGCTTTTTATACAGATGAAGGATTCAGACTAGGTTACTGGTAATGAAGTATCTAAGTGATCAGAGACTATACTTAAACACCACGTTAATTATTAAATCCTTTTTATAATAGGTTGGTTTATCAATCCAAATTGTTATCCGGTCAGGTCAGGAGCTTGGTGCGTGGTGGTCGGATATGAGAGTTCTACTGTATACAAGTGACATCAAGCAGTCTAAGGTCAGTCAAATAAGCTAAGAAATTTTATTTTTACATAACAACTCTTAAAACGTTATCCTAGTCAAAGAGATTTTTTTCTGGAGGTTGAACCAAGCTTGAAGAACTGAGCTAAGTTCACAGAAAGACACTCTCATTGCATGTCTCTTTACAATCTAATAATTATTTATAATTTTTGTTGAATCATATCTGTTCAAGCAGTGATAGCAGAACCATTTTTGTGATCACATTTATGTTAGAAATACTACAACGGAAAGCAAACTTACCAGCTTTACAAGAATATTCATTCAGCGCTTGAGACCAAAGCATAACACGCCACTCAGCAATGTCATAGTCGGGATTGTGAGGACACAAGACAAAGCTTTGGAGAAACTTGGCTGTTGCCAATTCAGCTTCATTTTGTGGTAGATGATATTTCGATACCAACAACGAGCAAAGCTGTAAATAAAGTAATAATTCAGAAAAATGTATTTTAATGTCAAGTACTCAGAAATTCAAATCTACTCAAATTTCCATCCTGAAATAGTTTTAGATAAATATAGGCCTATGTCAGATGTAGCACATACATAATATACAATCTAACTAAATGTAAAGATAAGTAGCCTAATTTGAACTATCTGTATCTTCTTCCAATAAACTCAGTCATTGAACATTAAAAGCTTTGATAGAATTCATTTTTAGCCTATACTAATAACTAGTTGTGTCTCCAATGGACATAATCAGACTACAGTACAAGTTGTTCATTAACTCTTTTAACTCCAATGTTTGAATGTTTGAAATTGAATCTTATAAGAATACTTGCATCTATCAATACAAGCATAACTCATTAGATCATTAGAAACTGAAAACTGCATTGACATAATTATATATGCTAAACATTGTACAGGTCTAAAATCAAGATACTATGACATTTGATTTACTATAGTGGAATAGATTACAGAATAGGACCGGAACCAGTTCGGGTCGGGTGGGGTGAGGGCAAGCGGTATCCAATAAGCTTTCAGAAAACTGTCCACTGTTGCCAAGTTGTGCCACGCGCTTAGTCTTTGCCCGACAGCCGACCTGTGTGTTTCGAGCATATCCTCTTGTTTGGTCAAGAAATTGCCTTAAAGTGTGTTTATAATTCGAAACAGGCCAGTAACAAAGCTACAAAAGGCATCTCACTCCATTCTACACTCATCCTTCACTCATATTTGGGTTAAAATACGATCATAGGTGGTGTCCCAATCTCAAATGAATAATTAATATGGTAGATTGTATCCTCTTCATTTCCATGTTAATTTTGTTTCATGTATCAAACAATAAGCTGAGCAATATTTTAGAAGATTTTTAGAACTGCTATACAAATTGTTTGGTCATATAAATTTACTGTTAAATTTATTAATTTTATGTTTATATATTTTTCAAAAACTGCTTCTGGTAGCTGTTTGAGCCATTTTAAAGACAATTGTGTAGCAAATAATCAAACCATAATAATGTATGGGATGAATGTTGTGTTCCATACGATATAAAAATATAACAATACTAACCAATACCACCAAGAACAAATAAATTATTAATTTGTAGTGTTGAACTGAACTACCCTACAAGTGGGACGATAGAGGGTGCCGGGCTCTAGGTGAAAGTCAGCTCACCGGCCAAGAACGACATGGCAACGTCGCATCCCCTACCTCTTCAAAGGCCAGTCCTATTCTGTAATCTATTCCACTATAGCAAGGCTAGAACAGTTAACCCCCTAGGCCTAATCAATGGACATGCAGTTTTAAGGCTTGGTCCACCCAACTATAAGACTGCATCACAGATTGAGGGCTTGGAAGTCCATGTATCTGATGAGATATTTTGGGAAGTTTTTCCTATCCTTGCGGTGTGTACTAATCTATCTGAAAAGTGATTTGTTTTTTTTTTATGCATCACAATCAAACCTAAATAATCATAAAATTGTGGTTCAACCAAGAAAAAAAAACCCGAAATCATGGATAATCATTGATTTTCCAAGAAGGATTAAGTTTGTAAGATTAATATTTCTAGCTAAGTATAGTAAGCAAGCAGTCTATATAAGTAAGCAGTATACAAGTTTCCTGAAAATAAATAATTAGTTAGTAGGTTTATCAAAGTAAACTACAAAAATCATAACTTATAGGTCTTATAATATGGTAAGTTCAGGTGCATCTTTGCAGAAAAAATTAACACATTTTATTGTAAGCTGTGATGAAATTAACTGTTTATGTCGTCCAAACAATTACACAGTCCTAATCATATAATACACAACTTTTTGGGAGTGATAATTACATTAATTTAAAAGTTATGTTAAAATCCTTAGAAGTGGGTAAGACTGGGAGCGATGAGTTATAATGGAATTCATCATCATGCATGACCCAATCTCCAAACGACTTTGTGGAAACGAGTGAAGATATATTAAGAGCAAATCTGGCTTACTTCCCAATGGCTAAATATACCTTACTGTGGAAAGACCCAAACCAAATCAGTGTGTGGCAATATCTCGTCGGTCAGATTTAAGGTTCTATAACTGAGAAGATAACAACCCATGAACCAAGCATATGGGTTAACCAAACATGCTGCAGAGTATAAAGGGATAACTGTAATGTTAAACAAACACATCACCAAATATATGAATTTACAATAGAACCTTTTCCCAGTGGTCCTCAAACTTTTTGGCCTTACACGACATGCCATTTCACATCACCAACCAGTGTCAAAGCATTTAGGTAAAAGGTTTTTTTTATAGTGACCCCTTCCTTCGCAAGGATAGCAATATACAACTTAGGCTTTTTAACATTATATCATCAAATGAAATTACCACATTCACTACAAAGTCTCACAAGGCACCTCATACAGATGAGTGCAACGTGTTAAAAAATCACACTTAAAATAATTCAGAAATCACACTGTTAGATAATCAGTAGCAGTACAGAGTAAAATAGTTTGAGAACCACTGCCCTACGCTTTAGGTGTTGGCCTACTGTAATACAAATATCTAATCGCAACATGTCTCACAGGCGTTATTTTTTTAAGAATTTGTACAAAATTGGGAAAAAGTCATCACACAACTTTCCTAATTTAGCACTTTGCACTACTAACTACTTGACCTGGTAGGAGGCGATGATGCGAATGCATGTCTGGGCCAACCAGGGAGTAAGGTAGCTGAAAGACAAATACACAATTAAACATATCCTAAACACCAAACATGCTTAAAAACAAAATAAAATACAAATCAGAAATTACCATGTTAATAAGTCAATTAGTTAATCTGTGCATGAAAAAATAAATTACTATTGCCAAAATGTAAAACATGCATTAACAATACTTCATGTGGCTGTGACTTGCTGCGGTGGGGGTATTTAGGTACTTATAATTCAGTTTGTAACATTATTCTAAAAATAAAAGTTGTTAAAACATTAAACTTCATTATTTGACATGGTTCAAAAGTATTTCAAAAGTATGGCCTAGTACTGTTTTGAATGTAAAAGATGGGAAAAACCCATTTTTATCCCATAAAACCCTGTTCCTATCATATTGGTTTGAAAACTCTATAGAATAAACATTGGTTTACATTGTACAAATTTTCATCTACTCGAGTTATTGGGCTAACGGACACTTATCTCAACATCGTTGAAGGACTCGTCCTTGAAAACTAAATATGAACAGAGAAAAAAAACTAATGTTGAGTAATTTACGTAATTGAGTATTTCGAGTAATTTAGCGTACATTTTTTATTTGATCTTAAATATAAAAAACTTTATGTGATTCAAGGTGTGGACATGCCACTCCCTAGATGTATGACTAACCGTGCCCCTCGAGCAGAGCCGGTGATGTCACTGAAGTCCTCGAGCCGCTACTCACAACTAATGTAGCCTATCACACAATGCTATAGGATGTTGTGTTGCGGTGTTTGTACTACGCTGTAGTTAAATGTGTTGATTTTACCATAGGGTACTTAGTTTTTTTAAATGTGTATTTAAGTTTTTTGTATTGAAAGTTCTTCTTAATATCCTATAGGCTATTAAAACAAGGGATTCCTCCTCCCCCCCCCCCCCCACTGTATGATAAATTCATGATTCTTCATTTTAAGAAAATACAATAATTTTTGGAGGAGGGAATGTTGAAGGCATTTAATTTTTATTTTGGTTTCAGTTTTCTTGGTGTCATAACAGCTGCAAAGAAATTCAGCAATTGGATTTAAGGATGACATAGGCCAATGTAGTGGTAATGTATTTGCACTACCGGTATTTGTCTTTCAATTTAATCAATGGTAAGTCTATTCGTTCAGAATGAGTATGACTGATTCGTTACGTTATATAGGTACCGGTACTAATAATAAACATGTCTAGATTTACAATCACAACAGCTACTAATCATTAGCATTAAATCATTAGCGGTTAAATTTCTTTTTGGACTTATAGTTCAATTTGATTTTTTTTTTTTTTCTAAGCCGGCTAAAATTTGTTTCAGTGCAATATAGTCCTAATTTGGTTTTAACAGCTGGTTTTACATTCAGTAGCCTATATGTAATTCAGTAAAGATTACAATGGATTTGTAATTTATTTACTGTATGCTATTTTGTACCTTTAAATTGATATAGGCCTACATAGCTTTTCCCAATAGGGGAAATTCGCAAAATTAAAATAAATATCTAATTATATTATATAGCTGATTGTTTTTAGTTTTAATTGTAGGTAATGATGCACTACCGAACTAACTGTCAGAGTAGCAACTAGTATTAGATTAATCCTTAGTTTAAACTAGCTGTTATTCACGGGCTTCACCCCGTTTCACTTCATAAACATTAATCAAATCAAATCATTTATTATCATGGACATTTACATGCATTGAAATTGTCAGTGGAGCAGAACATAACATTTCAATGTTCATTGTATATAATAATAATAACAATAATAAAACTATTGATTCCAGGTTAAGCTAAATAGACCAGGCCTTGGTTGGGGTTGAGTATGCAAAATTATTCGGACGCACTTTCTCTTTTGATTGTTGTTAAGGACACTTTGGACAGTAAGAAAACGCATGTTGCCACGATCGGCGTTGGTCGAGTACCAATATGGCTGCCATCCAATATGGCGGACCACCTGACTTGACCTTGATCTAGAAAAATGCAAATAACTCCATCGTTTTTCAACCGATTTTGATAATTCTTTTATAGTTGAAAAGAAGAAGAAATTTGCTTTAAGAGTCTCCATTACACTTATAGTGATATCCCGTTTAAAAAAGTGATAAATTAGATTTTAGTATAGATTTTACTTTTAAAACGGATTAAATATACATTGAGGTGATTATATTTGAGTTTTTACTGACGAAATATGTCCGAACTCAACCTGTAGCTGCTTGGGTAACAAAAACGTCTATCAGATACTATCCTCAATGGTTTTACAAACTTAATGATTTGTTGTACTGAAAATTTTAAAAAACATTCCATTAGAACGTGTTGGAAAATGCTCATCTTGTCCGACCGGTGAAGATGGCTCCGAGTCATATAGCTGGGGCTTCACTGACACCAGTACATCCCATCCTTGTGAGATCCTTGTCAGTCCCAAAAGCCTCCACAGATATCCTAGGATGTAATTGTTTATCCAAGTGTATATCTACAATGTAAACGCGCAAGAAGAATCGAAAGACTTGCACCAAACTGTGCTACCGTTCTCGACAATGTTTGACCCTTTTAAATGGTTCATTCAATTTGTTCATATCTACTTTTAAATATTGCAATTAACAATTTATTTTCTCTTAGATGGCCTTTTTCTCATATTTCTTGTTCTCTTCCAAGGACAGAAGTTTTGGCAGCTGATTTTGAACCTAGGTCCTACACAATCGTATGAAGTATATAATGAGTGTTTCAATCCATTTGGCATCAGAAGAAAAGCCTTTATGGACGTTTAAATAATAATTTCAAACCAACAAACAAGGCAGATATACGGAAACAGAGTTTTTTGGCGGCCATATTGTGTGCCATCTTGGAAAATATTACCTCAAGGGTGGTTGTGATTACGTTTTGAGTATTGTGTTCGGCATTCCAATAAAACCCCTATGCAGACGGTTAAATTATTATTTTGGGCCAACTAATAATAGAGATATGCGAAAACAGAGTTTTAGGACGCCATCTTAGGTGTCATCTTGGAACATATTCCCCTAAAAGTTTATGTAAGTAAATTTGGAGTATTGCAATATGTTTGCAATCCGATAAAACCCCTATGCAGATGTTAAAACTATTATTTTAGGCCAACTAAGAAGAGAGTTTTAGGACGCCATCTTGGAACATATGCTCTTAAAAGTTGATGTAAGTAGATTTTGAGTATTGCAATGTGTTTGGCACCTGAGAAAACCTCTATTCAGATGTTTAAACCAATATTTTAGGCCAAATAACAAGAGTAATGGGGCAAACAGGGTCTGGCCGCCATCTTGGATACCGCATTTCCGGTTCCAATTTCGCTTTGGCAACACGCAGATTTGTACTCAGCAGGGTCGAATTACCCTAAAAAATCTGTTTACCCAATCGTTACATAAAGTTTTTCTTGCATTGCTCTTTTTTAAAAACGTACCTTCTCCAATTGTGTTTCGTTGTAAATTAATAACATTAATAATATATAGATTATTAAATTACAAATTATTAGATTTTGGTTATTAAATGATAAAGGATAATTATGTTTTTGTTACCCAAGCAGCTGCAGGTTGAGTTCGGACATATTTCGTCAGTAAAAACTCAAATATAATTACCTCAATGTATATTTTATCCGTTTTAAACGTAAAATCTTTATTAAAATCTAACTTATCACTTTTTTAAACGGGATATCGCTATAAGTGTAATGGAGACTCTTAAAGCAAATTTCTTCTTCTTTTCAGCTATAAAAGAATGATCAAAATCGGTCGAAAAACGATGGAGTTATTTGCATTTTTCTCGATCAAGGTCAAGTCAGGGGGTCCGCCATATTGGATGGCAGCCATATTGGTACTCGACCAACGCCGATTGTGGCAACATGCGTTTTCTTACTGTCCAAAGTGTCCTTAACAACAATCAAAAGAGAAAGTGCGTCCGAATAATATTGCATACTCAACCCCAACCCCGGCCTGGTCTAAAGCTGAAATAATCAAAACAGAATACAGTAATATAAACAAATAATCACACCTGATTTTTATAAGGTAAGTAATTGAAAGCACAACATACAAATAAGTACAGCTGAGGTATTTTAACATTAGGTATATGGAAAGTTCCCTTTGGAAAGCAATTATGACCTTAAAGGGCAATTTATGAAATAGGCCTAATGAATAGTTTTGCGCAAGGTTTCTCGCCATGACGAACATGTTAAGTTAATGGTTTATGGGGGTGGGACTTGTAGTTTTCTCAAAAGTTCGTGGGTACTTTGGGCTTTATAGATTACTGCCACGAATACTAGAAAAATACCTGTATGGATCATAAACATAAACAAATTACGTTGTTGGCCCGAATCCTGTACTAAAGCATTGAACATATGTTTTGGCAGTTCCATTTAAGCAATGTTAAATAATGTTTATTTTCAGGCCAAAAATATCATTTGTTTATGTTTATGATCCATACCGGTATTTTTCTAGTATTCGTGATTACTGCCTATGTCTGAAAATATTGTTGTGACACTAAAATAGACCTAGGCCTACTCTATTTCTGTGGATAGTTAAAACCACAAATGTATTTGAATGCAACTTAAATATTTAGGCTATGCATATCTTAGCAAATAAACATTTAGCATAGTTTACATCTTTAAAAAAAACAAAGTAGCCTATAACATGTTTAGTTTTATATCTAGATTTAACTTAATAAACTAGAGTTAATTTTGCTAATGCATGCACATTTATTAGATGAGACATAGCATTTTAAGTTTACCCGTTATTTTTAGACAAATAGTAAAATATTTTTGCCCATCAAAAAACCCATCACCAATGATTAACTTAAAAGTTATTTAAAATAAAACACATCCTAATACTAAAAGAAAAAGGTAATTAATTAAGTTATTTGATATATCTACAATGCGATATCGTGTAATTTTTAGATGTCTACTTACAGTATTTTTCACGCTGAATCCAAAAATGCAATAAGTTTTGTTGGGTTATTCACCTATTTGTGGTTTGGACGAGTCCAAGTTCTAGTGGCGACTAACACTGAAAGGGGTGGAAGGTTTGTGGAGTGGAAACAGCTGTCAGTTGTATACATTTGATACTAGACAGACAAAACCACACACACCGCTATGAGAGCAAAATCAGAGTTACAATATGCAATAACTCGATTTTTAAAAGAAAATGGACTTTGGTGCCGTTTAGAAAATACAATAAATCAACTACGATACATAAAATATTAATCATCTACATAAATTATAAAAAAAAAAGAATTTATTCACGTAAAGTATCTGTAATATAAGCTAGGCCACTGCCAACATGATCGTCCTCATTTCAATCCTCAACGTCTGTTAATGAACGTGCCATAGTCCATAATCCCATAGTACATAATCCCATTGTGCCTAAAAGTGAAAACATGCCACAGTGCATAATTTCATGTATCAGCAGCTAATAAATGATGTTACATAATATAATATAATCTAACCTAACCCAACCCAACCTTAATATTAATTTTTAAATCACATTTTATGTCAGAAAAGCTATGTGAGGAAGATAGGTCGGACTTTATCCGGATACGTGACTGTAGTAAGTCCTTTGAAGTGAGGTTAGATTAGGTAAGTTAAAGGTTAGGTTATAATGAATGACTCATTAATTTATGCAACTTCCAGGCTGTTTTTGCACAATTGAAATAGTGGGTGAAACACAATGAAATAGGCTAACAATATTTCAGGTTCATTATAACCTAACCTTTACCTTCCTAATCTAACCTCACTTCAAAACACATAATACAGTCACGAATCCGCATAAAACCCGACCTACCTTCCTCACATGCCTAAATAAGAACTGATTATTTGGTTTCAAAACGAATTGATTTCTTTCCGCATTAAGTCGAGTATAAACAGCTGTTTGCTCTCCTCACTCAGTCCACATACGGACCCGTCCAGACCACGCCATATCTCCATCAGTATAGCCATAGATAAAACATACTCCCTTAGTAGATTTCTCATCCTTATGGAACAGCTGAAGACAATTTTATTGTTAGTTCTGTACGGTTTATGTAGAGGTCGTGTTTTGTTTACAATTTGTTTCCCGTTGTTACAGCCATTTAAAACCTCGTTTAACCAAGTAATACGATCTAATCATAAACAATAACTTGTCCCCTAGTTATATAACCAAACAGTAAAGCACAAATCAAGAAATTAACCCTAAAATAATAGAAACAAAGTTTCGTCGACACTAGCGCCCAGTGTCACCGTACATGAACTAGACACAAAAAACGTGCTTCCAAATTTACAATGTATAGCTCAATGAAACTTAGATTCGTAATTTTAACCTTCGTTTTACGGCCACTTATGAATCTCTCTGACATAAACTGATTGCATTTTTGGATTCAGCGTGAAAAATACTGTACCGTAAGTAGACATCTAATACCCCCGCCGCAGCAAACCCTCAGACTAATTTCAACTTGTCTGATTACATATTTACTCAAATATTTCCATAAATAAGAAATATTTATTCCCAATTTAAATAACATTAGATTTAACGAGTGCTTAGGTTTGCTGCTACCGGGAAGGTAAACAGTGTTTTTTGACCAAACGTCAATAGTATAGGATGAAATAAATAAATTTGCCAAATTTGATCAAAATACATCCATAAACAAGTCAACTACAACAGTTTTCATTTTCTCCATAAGAATAACATGGGAATTTTAAATTTGCCCTTTTATGATTTTTTTACGTAACCCTTAGGCATACAACAATGCTTCAATATACTAAATTATTTCTTTTTTAAGCTCTACAAAATGGTTGAAAAATAAATTCCAAAATTTTATGTTTTTAGGGTCTAAAATGGGAAAAAACCCAATTTTTACCCCATAAACCCCCGTTCCCATGGTCCGATCATGCTGGTTCGCGAACTCGTTAGAATAAATGTAGGTTTACACGTTCATACCAAATTTCATGAAAATCGGATAATTTTTGTTCGAGTTATCATGCTAACGGACACACATATATATATATATTATATGTGTATATACGTTATGGACTCCGAAACCGCTTGACAGATTATAATGAAACTTTCAGGCATTATTAAGCATCTTTCAAGGATGGTTCGAGTGAAGTTTGGTGCAGATCTGTCAAAAGGGCTCTGCCCCAGAGGGTTTTAAGTGGCCCAATGTCAGACTTTTTGATCTACAATGTTTACAAATAAATATAGCCTAATTTAAAAGCAGATGTTTACTTTCACCAACTGTTTTGTAGGTTTGAATAATTACAACATTCTGTATTAGCATTAGTCATGATTTGAAATAGTGCCACAGTGTTTCTACAGAGTGCAGCACAGAAAACTATTTTACTTTTGAATAAGTCCAAATGTATTAACCCCAATCGCAGCACACCTGTGCACTTAACAACGTTTAATTTCTCCAATGTTAAATATTAAAACATAAAAACCTTTATCAAAGTACCTATTATAAACAATAAAAGGGATGACTTTTTAAAACTTATGACAACAGCTAATTTGCAACCAAAAGGTGAGTGAGCGTAGCAAACGAATATCAATCTGGAGGCGAGTTAGCGTAGCGAACGAGCTAACCTGAAAACAAGTGAGCGCAGCGAACGAGCTCCAACCTAAAGGTGAGTGAGCGTAGCGAACGAACTTCAACCGGGACGTGATTGAGCCATGCGAATACTTATGAAGTTAAACGGGGCAAAGCCCGTGGGTACAGCTAGTTCCCTATATGGGAAATTCGCTAAAAACTACACGATATCGCGTTGTAGATATATAAAATATTTGCCAATAATAAAACTTTAAAAAAAATAATTGCAAGACAGCTTTTACTAGCCTAACTTAAGTTAACTTTTTATAAAAAAATTGTAATTAAATAAACTTAAATCACGCCAGCCTAAATCATGTGTAAAAGTGTCTCGAGTTTAAGTGTCCCAATAATGTCATGACCGGCGGTCGCCACCGGGTAGGCTATAGGCTACTTACAGTTAAGGTAAATGCACCAGTAGCTGACAGTGCACCAGAAGCTGACAGTTTGAGTTTCTTAACAAATGTTATAATGTGGTCTCTTAAAAATATTTACACATGATTGCATTGTTAGAAGAACATATGTTTATTCTTGATTTGTTTACAAACAAATCAGCGAAATTTAGCCCATACTCGCTTAATGGTGGTGGTTTGAAAGCGACCCTGTCTGTACACATCACATTTAGTCGATTCCCTTAATGGAATTGTTAAGAAAGTAAGTTTGGTTTTTTGTCATTTCGCTAAATTTCTAAAATAGTATTAATGATTAGGCTCATTATTTTTATCAATTAGGGCCTATACCTTTGTTGACAATTTCATGATAAAATTGGGGTGTTAATTTATAAGCCAAATTATCTTAAAAAATGTATATTTTTTTAAATATATAAAATATATATTTTTTTAATGAATATATTTTTTATTTTAAAATATGTAAAATAAAATTTCTTAACAACGTTTTACATGATTTTATAATTTAATTATTAAGTTAGATTTTATTCGTCTTATAAATTAAAACCCTTAGGTTTAGCAGCTAGTACATTTATAGTTCCAGTGTCAGCTACTGGGACAACTGACAGTCAGCTAACTTACTGGTACAAGCACTTTTTCACTGTCAGCCACTCGAACACGTACAAAGGTTGAATTAAGTTTAAAAATGTTATAAAATATATTTTAAAAACCCTTTTTGTATGACAAATTTGAAAACTACATTAAATTTAGAATCACATAAAATCCGTAATATCTCTTTAGTTCCTATTTATTCAAAACCACGGATTATTAAGTGAGTAATGAGTATAGTTTCTTATACTGTCAGCTACTGGTGCGTTTACCTTATGTAATCACCGCACACCCACACTCATTCTGGCCTGACTCCATACATCTTAAGATTCACTCCCATTAACTTACTTTCCAGGGGGCTATCATCATATTTGAAGAAAAAAAAATTAGGTAGCAGTTTGGTTCAGTTGGCATTGGCCTATGGTGGACAGGCATTTAGCAAAGAAACATTGGAGGGTTTTGAATTTAAACATGATGAGTTTGGTGAAGGTCAAACCCCCTGATAACAATTGGATGTAGGCCTAAGTTAAATAAAATCCTAGGCCTAGCAAAGTTTTCAAGTAGCCTAATTAATTGCATCTCATACCTACTGCTTACCTTTTGTACAATGAAGAGGGAGAATACACGACAGTCTGTATATTTTAGATTGCACTAATAGTTTTTAGTTTTTTTTTTTTTTTCATTTTAATTATTAACACGAGGAGTTATAAACAAATGTTACTCAACACAGAACACTGATCTTAAAACCACTTCTTGGTAATATTATTCTACTTGTGTTTTTAGTAAGCAATTTTTCTACACAATTGATTAGTTGTTTTATAGCGGTTTTTTAGTTTGTAAAATAATTTTCAAGTGGTAGGATAGTAATGTTTTTGTTTAGACTTCATTCAAAAATTGAAAGTTGACTTCTTTTATTAATGATGGTTTGGAAATATCTAGTAATAACTGGACCTTGAGCACTGGGAATTTTAATCCCCAAACAATTTCTTTCCAAGTTCCATCAATCTATGGTTGCGACAAACAGTCAATGCATCCCGTTTCTTGAGCACTTGGGTGACACTGTTATTTGCTTCGACAAGATTGCATAAGAAGTCCTCAAATGCAGATTTGGTGTTTGCTGGTAAAGATCCTGATCGCACTTTAAGAAGATTGTCGATTATTCCCTCTGCCCAGCCGCTTTCAATAGCAAACTCAGAAATCCATGGTATAAGGGCAAGAACGGCACTAAGAGTTTGCATTCCTAGGAACCACAACTCCATCAGTTCAATCCAACTTTTCTTATATTCTATTGAAACTACAAGAGCATGTGGATCATTGCATTCATCTATAACATACGCATCCCATAAAAAGCGTATAGTAGCTTGAATGTATCGACAAATAGAGAAGTCGTTTTTCTTCACCCGTTTTGATTGTTGTTTTAGTAGCAATAGACCTAAAACAGCCATGTTTCCATATAGCACTAGATTTTCTTGGGTGTTCTTTAACTCTGGTAAATTGTTGAAGGTGAATTTCATCAGCAGTTCAAACAAAGGACTCTCTTCAACCATTTTAGGTTCTAAAACGGTTATGTTCATAAATATATTACATGTACTTATCATAGCCGCTCTTGAATCCTTCATGTCTTCCAATAATTTTGGTGGGAGGGGTGGGTCAGGTTCTGTACGAACTTTTTTTCGCTCCGATTTGGGCACAGGAGGTTTTTTATAATGTGCAATTGACCAGTGGAATGTTAAACATTCTAGCAAAACTTCATCTTGTTTGACTCTCAACAAAATTTGACGGCTTTTCTCTTCAACTGTTAGATGGCAAAGGGCTGGCAACATAACCCTTAAGATATCAACTTGGCTTAAAGGATCAATTTCAACATCCATGGTAGACTCTCCCTTAGCATTCATAGCTTTTTCTGCAAAGTACCGAGCTCTAGAGGCATAAAAAGTCTCATTGGCTAAGGTCAACATAAAAGGCAACAAATCATAGATTGCATTTCTCATTGCAGATGTTTCTTGGGCCAACCAGGCTGATAAAACTCGTACCATAGCACAAATGAAAACCTTTTCTTGAACCAGCATAGTATCCTTTACTTTTGGATAATCTTTCGAAACTTTGTTTAAGAGATTTATTACTGCTGCAAATGCTCCTTTCAATGCTGTATAAATTTGTTGTTTCTCTTTCTGTTCCAGATCCAGAGTATCATTTGCTATGAATGCTATGAATACCTCCAGCATTGAGAAGCAAGCTGTGATTAAATCGGCATTAGCCATTGCTTGTTTTAAATTCTTATCCTCTAGCTGCATACGAACTTCAACAGAACATAATTGAATCAAGAGCAAAAAGAATATTTTTGGCTTGTCGTCATCAGTTAGACACCATTCTGCACCTAAAACTTCTAGCATTGCTGAAGCCAACTTTAAAGCTGGGTCTCGCTGAGATTTGCCAATTTTACTTTTTAAAATATCACTCAAGCCTTTATGAATAGATCCTGGCCATATTTCATCACCGGCAGTAGATGCAACACTGCTCTGAGGACAGCTACGAAGAAGTCCCAAAAGAATGGTGCATAGTTCGAATTTTCTTTCACTGTTATCCGTTTCAAAATCCAAAGCAATTTTTTGAACAAGTCCATGAAATGGTTTAGGATTGTTAGAATCCCAAGCTAGAGGTCCAAACCTCTCAGCTAACATTACCAATATATTCAGCGCCTCATCCGTCTGAAAACTCTGTTGCGAATAGATTTCTGAAAGTTTTGAAATGGCTCCTATATCAAGTAAAGCTTTTTGTCCAGCTGGGTAGGAGGCAATGCTTTGCAAACACTGGTAAGTTTCATTTATGACGATTAAATTGTCTTCATAGTCATCCTCGTCAGCTTGCTGTACAATTTCAAGAAAAACTGGAATATTTGCCAACATTTCTGGGTGTGTTGCAACTGCTTCATCAGAGCAAAAACTTGAAACAACTGATATTGCGACAGATTTATAAACTACTGGTGGGCAATCGGCTGCTACTTCATTGCTCAACAATAATCTTTTCAAAAACTTGAATCCAATTGCCTCAAACAGTAGCTTTTTGCACTCTGAATTCAATTGGTCGCCTTTAGTTAGTTTGGTAACCATAAACAAAGCGGCAAATTTTTCTGTATCATTTGTAACGGCAGATAGTATTGCCAAACATTTTGTTACAGGTTCTGGAATTCCTGCCATGATATAATTAGGCCTAAGTAAGAACAAGTATTTTTGCTAGTAAAGTAGGTCTAACATAGGTAGGCCTATGGCATTTATTATTGTCTGGCTAAGAAACTGGGTTCAGGATTCAGTAGGAAACAATAACACTAGGCATACTCAGCAGGATACTGGTTCAAAACTAAGCTTATCACTTCACCTTTAGTTAACTACATACACAATTAAGTCCACACTCATCCACAAAGCATCACAAGTCAACTGACTTGACTATTTCGTCGAGGCAGTGATAGCCAAGTCTAAATTTAGAACCGCCTCTTCTAGAGTTACTAGTAAACTTTAAGGCCCGTTTTGCCAGAAGCGTCTGGTGCGTCTGACGCTCAGCGATGATCGCTAGAGCGATAATCGCTCAGCGTCTATCGCACGGGCCTATTTTGCCAGAAGCGTCTGTTCCTTGCGATTATTTGATCAGTAGGTGGTTTACTTTGGTGGCAAAAGGAGTGTTTTTGAAAATGACCAGTAAAAAGCAAATAGTAAAGTATTTGTTAGCTGAGGAATTAGACGATGATGAATATTAGAAATGTTTTGCAAACCTAGGGAAGAAGGGCGTACTATGTTTTTAACCTCTTCAGGGAGTAAGGCTCATATGGGTACATTAACTTTATTTCAATTTTTTTGTATTATTCTCAAACACCCACATTTGTACAGTGGTTACTATTGGTTACATTAACTTCTCAAAAGTTGGTAGCACTGGTTCCTTTCCTTCCTACATGTTTCTAAGGCAAGGAAATATTCAGTTGAAAGGGGCACTGTGTGAGGTTATGTGTGAATCAGTGAATTTGTGAACTTTGATGTCTTCTGAAACCCATTTATAATGTACATATACACTTAATAATTTTTGTTTATGATATTTTATGCTTTCACCTTTCAAATAATATTTAGTTTACTACATTATCTTTTAAAACGAAACCAGAAATTTGATTTTAATATCTGTACTCATTTGCGTACAAATCTCAAATGTCTTTGAATCTCAAAAAACGTCCCTGAAGAGGTTTAAAGAGGTCTGAAGAGGGATATTTTAAATTAACTAGTGTCCCTGTTGCTCGAATTCGAGCAATTGCTAAGCATTACAGGCGTTAAATCAAAACAAATAACAGTAATAATTTCTGTTGACTTTAAAAAATTCGACTCAAAGATTATGGAAATACTCAAAGATGAACATAACAGATTGATATAATCAACATTTTTTGTAAATATCTTATAATTTTTCAAAAACTGATCTTGTTTTTTAGTGTTTTCTACAAATAGCCTTACTCATAGCCGTATTGGTTGTCCATATAATAACGATTATAAATAAAAATACCCCCGCCGCAGCAAACCTGCCAACTAAGCGAATTTCCATTCGTCTGAATTGATTTTCAGTTAAATATATTTTAATAACATTAGGTTTAACGAGTACCTAGGTTTGCTGCTACAAGGAAACTAATAAAGTGTGTTTTTGAGTAAAATATTGATAGCTTAGTACAAAATAAATAAATTGAGTTTGATCAAAATATATCCATAAACAAGCAAACTACAACATTTGACAATATTCTCCATAAAAATAACATGGGAATTTTAACTTTACAATTTTTTAAATTTTCTCCGTTACTAATAATCGAAAAAAAATACTTTTATATACTAAATTATTTGTTTTTTTAAGCTCTTTAAAAAGGTCTAAAGATAAATCGGGAAATTTTGTGTTTTGAGGGTCAAAAGTGAGAAAAACCAATTTTTACCCCATAAAACCCCCCGTAAAGCCCCGTTCCCATGGTCCGATCGTGCTGGTTCGCGAACTCATTCAAGTTTATCCCGCTTTACACCTTTAAACCAAATTTCATCAAAATCGGACAAAAATTACTCAAGTTATCGCGTTCACGGACGTATATATATATATATATATATAAGTCTATATATATATATATATATATATATATATACATATAAAAAAATTTGAACGAATGGTGTTTTTGGCCTCTGGGGACATCAAAATGAAAAAGTAAATCGGTCCCGAGTCTAGGTCTTACCGTGCCACCTACGGTAATAGCTACTTCCCTATAGGGAAATTCGCTAAAAAAAAAAAAAAACATTATTAGGCCTATATTTCTTCTCATCGGTGGTATTCTATGACTTTCCTATGTTACCATAGTTTGCAAATCGGCTCTTTCAATGATTACTAAGAAATGCAGCACAGTGTTAATTTAGTTTTCTTTTTAATACATCAATTTATCGAGGCTCTCTTGCTTTTTCCCATTGTAATATTTACACCAACCTAAATTCAAATATTAAATATTTCATTTCAACCGAGTCAGTAAATTTTTGTAGCAAACTGTTAAAATTAACAAACTTATTAATTGTTTACAATTAACATACGTTCTTCTTCTCACTCATTATTTCTGACAACAGCTGGAGTTTCATAACAATTTGTGTTTTCCATGTTAATCTTATGGAGAAATACGAAACTTTAAAGGGCCCAAGGGCCTCACTCTCTAATTATTTCCCAAAAAAGAAAGTTTCCTGCACAACTTCACGTTACGCTCTTTCCGATGACACCAAAATATGTCAATCGGTTCAGTAGTTTCGGAGGAGTAATTGTCACAAAAACCCCGCTTGCGTATTAAATAAGTATAGATATTTGAAAATCAATTAACAATTGACTTAACAGTCGTGTGCTGTTTCAATCAAAAATGGTTCAAAATGGCTTCAATCGGGTTTTCATCTTATTCACTACCTATTGAATCCCCACTTTGTTTGTGACACAACTTATTTAGGAAACAAAAGTTAAGTCAACAACTAAACACGTGCTTATTCCAGTAATAATCGCTAGCGACTGCGTCTCCGTCTGCTCCAGGAGCAGTGGTCCGCGTCAGACGCTTGCGTCTCAGTTACAGACGCTGGCGGCTGTAGCGATAGACGCTTCTGGCAAAATAGACCAACCTAAAACAATGCAAAGCAGTGGGCAGCGATTGACGCGGAGCGATAGACGCTGAGCGTCAGACGCGCGAGACGCTTCTGGCAAAACGGGCCTTTACAAAGCCAGAACCGTTTTGTTGAGGTTAGAGCTTCAAAACGTCTATTTCAGTTTCCGAGTGTGACATTCAAGGATTGGATTGGAATTGGGCTACGACGGCTACACTCACAACTCACACAAACGCAAACGCTACAGGCAATGAGGCAAGAGGAAGAGCCGAGCCAGTTCAGTCCCAGGACTCATTACATTCACATACGGAATACGGAATTGGAAATTTGGAACTTGGGAAGGGAGTGTATTGGGTAGACAGAGAGAGAGAGTAAATACACACACTGCCACTGCGCAAACGCGGAAGTCGAAAACCTTTGCGTTCGATTATTCCGGGTTACGTCAGAGGCCTACTTCCTAGATATTTTTAAAATATAAGAATATTGTTTAACAGTATGAATTCACTTTTACTAGAAAATAGCCTTACCTTAGAGCAAGCTTCTTTATCTCCTTTTCTAGTACTGATTAGAGTATTATCTAAATCGAAAAATATTGTTGAGACAGCTGACTGACACTTCCATTTAAGAGGCGCCATCTTGCATAGAGGATTTAGGAGGGATTGTGTGTGAATATTGTGATACAAAGAAGATATTACAAGTAATAACATTAGTCCAAGTACTTACAGCCATTGATTAAACATACTGTACAATAAGTTAGTTGTGCAATACAATAAGCTACCAGCGGGTTTCAAAAATACTATGTGTAGCTCTACTTAAAGCAACATATACAGTAGTTGCACATGACTGAAAACTGGTCTAGGTAAGAACAGTGCTACTCTTTAAAGCGATTGCCCTTGTGCTTTATTGATTGTCATTGCATATGACTTAGCTAACGGAAATTGGAATCTTTCCATTTTAAATGGTAAGTTTGCTTCCGACGGGCACATTTTTATCCTCGGAATCAAAATGCCCCCCTCACTTGTTCCAGTCAGGACTTTACATTCTATTGAATTGTTAACCATTTTGGTCACTTGGAGCCTTGTTTAATTAATGAGGCCCTTTGGTGTATTGATATTCCTCATCGATAAAACCACTGCCCCTTTTTTTATCTAAGTGTCTTGGCAATACACTGACCTCTATTATTGTTTAAAAACTCTGTTGAGCATTCTAGATGAGCGTTTAAATTATCTGCAACCAAACTATCAATGCTTTCGTACACCTTGAGCTCACCTGGCAATTGTTGAAACTTGTTGTTGATCAAATCTTGCAGTCGCTGTTTTTTGGAGCTCAATAGATTTGTCTTTCATTTTACCATTTTGTATACTTTCAACGACGTTTAGGTAGGTGAAATCAAGGCATCCAACCAACTCCAAGCAATCTTGCTGTCAAAATAGGGAATCCATCAGCTTCCTATAAGCTTTATTCTATTATTGGACTCTTTTCTGCTCATGCAAGTATTGCGTCATAAAGGTTCATATATAGCCCTGCTCGAAGTTTTGACTGTTTCCTATGAATGAAACCTTCAATTCTGGTAAAATATCAACTATATATTGAAGTGTAACCTTGCCACCATAGCAGAATACTATAAAGCCTAACAGATAGCCTGTGGGCCGCGAACTGCAGTTTTGTAACAGTGTTCCTGTGTGTAGTTGCCCGATTCACATTTTGTGGCATTCCTCGATACCAACCCTCATCTCCATGAGGTAAAAGCAAGGGATGGGCTACTATGAATCAAGACCTGAACAGTGTGTAGCCAAATTTTCTGGGGTCCCATTTTTAGGATACACAACAAATAATGATTTTTTTGTATAGCAACAAACATGAAGTAGAGGATTTGTTTTATTTTTATTTATAAATGAATTGTCTGGTAGATCAGCTATTTCATGTCAAATTGATGAATTTCGAAGATTGGTGATTTTAAATATTACAGTACAGTTTTGTAAATCATGGTAACTTATTCTAAACAAAATTTTACTATTCCCAGTATTAAAATAAAGTAGTTTGATCCATTGTGAGTACACTTTAAGGTACCCAAAACATGATTAAACTTTAATATACGTACATTAACAGTCATAATACACCCCAATTTCTTATGTAGTAGACTTTGAGTATTTTCAACTAAAAACATATGTTTTTATAAATAAAGATTATCTTCCATGTTGTCCTTATGGAGAAAAACTGACTTTAAGCACAGAAAACATATTACTGTACTATAACCCAGAATGCCAACCGCGTGGTAAAAACCATTAAGTGTTTTGAGAGAGCTTTGCCTGTCAATCGTAGGCAGCACCATCAGCGTTGCCATGCACTCAGCATAGCAACGCTGG